TAGAAAGCCTCAAACAACAGAGCAACATCACACAGATCTTAGATCAGAGTTATTCAAACAGGCCTGATGTCGACCTTAACTCACCAGAGAGAGTTGATGCAAATTAGCCTTTTGTCACATTGCTGGTCTGATATGCTAATAGTGTTGCAGGCCTTGAGTGGTACTTTGTATGCTGGTGGATGCAGTAAAGTCAGCCTCTCTGGTGTAATGTTCTGCAGGTTATATTATTTATTTTACTACCTATGGGCAAACAATACGCCTGAAGATGTAAGGTGTTGAATATAATCATGGTCATGTTTAAACTCCTGTGAGGAACTTTGGGCTATTTCTGATTTTGGTGCCCCTTCCTGACAAAGCAGTACCTTTCATGATGCAAAAAAACACAGTGAAATGTGTTGAGAAATATCTAAAGGACCTTCATGCACAAGCACAACAATATAAATTGCAGATATTACTTGAGAAGATGCCACTAAAGCAATTACATGTTTGTACAACAAAGACAGCCACCAACTGTCACATATTTCAGCCAAGCCTGTGTGCCGAAGATGGATTATATTCCATTTAACATTGGGTTTGTCGTTGCTTCTTGGGGGAGAGGAGGGTATTTTAAATTCCAATTATGCATGTCAACGGTGAGGTCTCGCACTGATAAAGCTCTTGACAGACTGGCATTTACTGTAGGGATTGGCATTTGATCTTCAGCATCTGTAAATCTCAGTTTGGTGTTGTTTTTCAAAGGCTCATCATTACCATATCTTCCCCCCCAACTTTCAATTAGGAATAAATCTGACCCTTATTTCAGATTGTATACCGTTCAAATAGGGAATTAATAGTGCTCAGTCAAATGTGATATAAACAACAGGCATCAAGTCTCATCAGATTAAATTCTTAAATTAAAGGCTTTCATTTTCACTGCAGGGCTCTCATCACAGCACAAGGATGGCATCAAACCAATCGCTAAGATATCCAAGAAATTGTTAATGAAATGGTCTGACATTCAGTAAATCAAGAAAAAACGAGTTATTGGAGTCCCTCTAGACATTGACAAATTAATATTTCATAGTGTTGCTGACCTTATAGCTTGATCTCCTGAAGCTCAGGATGACGCATGCATGTTGGTTGCTACTGGCATGTATGCACCATAGCACAACAACCACCCCAGACCCACAAAGGAGAGAAACATACAAATAAATATGAGTTGATGGTCTTTTGTGTGTAACTTGTGTAGAAAATAAAAGAATGCAGGTCTAACAAGCTTAGATTTAGCTAGCATGAAGTCGGTTAACTAAAAAATTGACTGATACTCCAACAATATTGATTATTGTGATTCTTGTAAACGGTTTGGGGGACATATCAACCTATTTACCATTACCATTTACTACTTAACATAAAATAAGTTAAATAATAAAGATTTAAGGTCATCAATCCTTCTATCTAAATGCTAACATGACACAACGACACAGTGCCAACAGGCTAAAGTTAAAGTACTTAAGTATCCACACACTGAATTTACCTTTTTGTTATTGTTTGTTGGCTTGATCAAGTTAATTATTTCTCTTTTATTTGGAGTTACAAGGCCAATGTGCTCTTCTTCCTGGTTTGAACAAGTCATGGGGGCATCTTCTTTTTTTTTGGACAGAGTTTAATCCCAGTTTTAAGGTGTATAGAGTCACCTACTATACTAGAGTATTTAGAAGGTTAAAAAAAAGTGGAGCTGAGGGTGAAGCCTGGCTTTCTTGAAGAGGACCAGACCAAGTGCTCTGAAAGCATGGGGGGACCAGGGTTCCTTTTTGTTAACTATTAGTTATTTTGTGTGTAGTCCTCCCCTGTGTGCTGTTTTTGGTTTGGTCAGCCGGTTTAAATATCCCCCTTTGTTAGGTCAGTTAGTTGAGTTCACATCCTATTCTGTTAGCACTATTTTTCAGCAGTTATTTTAACCTATTTTACTGTAACTAGCACTTTACTTCTATACTTTGACTGATTTGCTTGAAGCCTGGTTTTTGAACTTTTAACCTGTTTCTCTTGCCTTGCCTGCTTGGTCCACGTCAGTGACAAAAACACACAGCAGGCAGAGGTATGTGGGAAGAAGTGGTGTCAATGAAACACATGTCTCTGACAAACATAGATGACAATGACAATGATGACAATTCCTTTAAACCTACAAGAACTTTTCTTCTCACAGAGCTTCTTTTTACAGAGCGGCAGTTTTCAAAACAGCTTGCAGGTACTTACAACTTTACCCTTTGAAACCTAGCTTCCTCAATCAGATAAAAAGGTAATAATGATTACATAATACTTCTTCGATGTAAGCCAAGTAGACTAGTCTAGGCAAGACACACATTCCATGATACAGCCTATCAGCTGAAAGCTGGCTCATCACATCCACACTGCACACTGGGTAGTGTTTTCAGTGGTGTGTAGTTGGCGAATGAGACGGCTCTATATGTGGCGGCTCTTTCTAATGTGAACGATGGGAGCTGGACCCCAGAGACCTGGTTTCCCTTTTCTTTTTTTTCTTTTTTACCTTTTTTGCTGTTATTTAATACACTACTGTAGACAGTGGGCCAGCAGCCCTTTGTTTAGTGTTTGAAGTGAAACAATCATTTTCAGCAGAACTAATAAGTTCAGTAAACATGAGGACTGGTACTTGATGGTTTAACATTATTGTTTCTATAGCAATATAGGCGTATATAAAGGGTGTGTCAAATATTGTTATTCTTGGAATCACAAGGTTTAAACCATATTTTTTCTGACTGTGATATCAGACAAGCCGCGCTGTGTTTAGTGCTTTAAGTGGAATAATAATTTTCAGCGTCCCTCATAAACAAGTTCAGTACATATTTTTGACCAAACATCATGTTAAATATCGTTATTCTGAGTGAATGATTTAGGTAAAATACATGTTCGTATATCATAGGTCAAAACAAACATTGCTGAATTTTTAATCAGATTTGATAAAAGCCAAATGGTACCAAATGAAGAGCAGTTTGGAAGCTGAAGGTAACAGCAGTTCATGATTAGCTGAGCCACATGATCTGGAACTGTAAAAAGAGTGAATTCCCTTCACTGGGGTCTTACAGGCCTTCTCCAACCTCCTTGGCTCCGGTCTAGTTGGCCTCTCTGCTGAGGTTTTTAACTTAAATATGTGACAATTGTTTGCTGTTCCCCCCTCCATGTTGTTTATCATGTTTTGTCTTCTCCATACTTTGGGATTTTCTGCAGCAGAGAATCTTTTCCTAAGCCGATCCATGCCTCCAAGTCAAATAAACACATTACCATCTCAAAGTGCAACATATGACATCGGTTACTTTGATAAAGATGGGTACTGGTGCTGACCTCTTTCTACATCAAGGATGCAAGGGTGAGAATTTGGTGGAACGGCAAGAAGTTGTAGTTCCGCCATATTTTGTGCCCCAGAGGCAAGATTATGATTACTTTTTTTCTACTTTACAGCTTAAGCTATTTCAGTGGGCTATTTCTAGCAGGAATTTCACCTGTGGTGGTCACACTGGTGATGGCTCTTTCATACTGGTAAGTAGCTTTGAGATTTAAAGGAACAGATATACATTTTTGGGAAATATGTTTATAGACTTATTTGGCCAGAATAAGACAAAATAACCACTTTCAGGTCTGGATGTTAAGAGGGAGTGATATGTAGATAGCAAGGCAAAAATAAAAATAAAAAAATAAAAAAATAAAAAAATAAAAAAATAAAAAAATTATTTATCCATACAATTTTTTGTGAAAATAAAAATTGATGTGCTGATAAACTAATTTAGTAACCTTTCCGAGGCTATGGTTTCCTGTCTTTGTGTTTGGCTAAGCTTACACAGCTTCATACTGAGAGAAACATGAACGGGGTGTCAATCATCTTACTGTGCAAGAAAAAAAAGTCAACTTAATTCCAAAAATGTCAAACTATTCCATAAATTTGGTTAACATGAAGCAGATCTGTTTTACAGCCTGTAACTGAATGCACTTATGATGACTTTTCAGTCGATCTGCCTTTGGTGGGGATTTCTACGTATTTGAGAGGAAAACTAAGAAGATTAAGAAAATGTGTGGACACTTACACCAACAAAGACAATCCTGTCCATAATAGTACCAGCTCAATATACAAAAATAAACCCAAAAAGCTCAAGTAGCAAAACATTACTTCTGTCAGAAGACTCCTCTTTCTTTTTATTTGTCTTATTCCATTTTGTCTCTTAGTTTTCCTTTATCACTCTTACATAATTCCAAGAATTAACGGCCGGTATGTCTTCGAACCTGTTCAGTTATACTCTTGGTTAAGAAGATAAGGGGAAAACTTATTTGGGCCCTGAAAAAAAAATAAAACATAGCCTATAGGTTACAAAGAGGGGGGCTCGAATAGTTTCTGTGTAATTATGTTTTCATCCACTTCTTTGCAGTACATTCATGTTTGTAAGCCTCTTTAAAGGTTGATTAAGAGGCCTCAGGATGCATTTTTTATTCCATCTTAGAAATATTTAATGATTCTCCTCATAACCAAGTTTCTCTAAGACTGCCTTAAGACACTGATATGAAATAAATATGCAATTATTTTATCTGCTGTCAAACAATGAAATGTTACTTTGTTCTTTAGAAACTTACATGAGTTGAAACATGAATTGGTGTTTGCAACAATTTGATAAACAGAACTGTTTCAAATCAGTAGAAATACTCTTATTCGTTGTGTTTTTCAAAAACCAAGGTTAACTTTTGTTTTCTATATCCTACCCATTATGTGTCCATTGTTATATATATATGACAAAGGTCAGAGCTATTCTTATGTCAATAAACTGTAATAAAAAAATAAGGCAAAAACAAACCACAGACTTTGACCTCTTCAGTGTTTTCCATTTGGAGACTCCATGTCCTCAAGACAAACCAATTTGTGAAGTTCCTTAGTTGTGTGCTCATGAGTACCAATCAGATGATATCGCCTTGTAGCCAATGGGGACACAGAAAGCTAGTTGGCTGGGTGTGTTGAGTTGGAGTTTGAACTTTGGACCAGAAAAAAGAAGAGCTGAGAGATACAGTGGAGACTCTTTGGGGACAGAGGCAAAGCTACTGCAAAACAAAGTAAATTGGATATTTAAGCCGAATCTCTGGGACTTCTTTGGTGGTTCAACCAAAAGACAATGGAGCCTTTCCAAGAACAGGTGAATATACAAATATTATCCTATTTATGCTAAAGGTTGCCAGGTTTTGGGGTTATTAGGACAAGTATACAGAGCACAGATCAGGCTTTAGAGCAAATTAAAAGCCTGCGCCAAATTCTGAATATACCTAAACATATACACAAACACATTTAAACCTAAATAACAACAAAAAAAAGGAACTAAAATAGTCACAGACACTGACAGATATCTGGGCGGATCTGGGGAACATGGAGTACAGCACAGTCTGTCCAGGAAGTCATGGTGAACGACTGGCAGTAAAAAAGCAATCAGCTGTGGGGACATAAGAATCCTTCATATTTTTGTTTTCTTAGCTTCTGAAAGCATGACATGCACAATATTGTATTGTGATGAAATGTCATGATCTCATTTCAGGGTTGTGATGGCATTGAACTGCTTGACTGGCTGTTTGATCAAAACGAGGGAATTCTCCGTCATGAAGAAGCGGGACGCCATGGCAACCATCAAACTTGGCCAATCCAGGATCCAAATGTGCGTGAGAATTCGGGGACACTAATGTCACTCACATGTGCTTGGATTAGCTGTTAGCTCTGAATAGACTTTGGTTTCACCCTGTCATGCTCTGTATCTCTTACATATTCTCTTCAGATGCAGCAGCCGGCTGAACAGGCAGATGATGACTTCCTCAACGCCCTCCTGAGTGGAAATAAGTCCGTTTCAGGATCCCCTTTCTGGTCCCCTTCTCCGAGTGACAGTGGGATCAGTGAGGACCCCCCATCAGATCAGATGGACAGCCCTCAGCGTCCTGAGAGCCCACCCGAGGAAGCGCACTATTTCAGGACAAGGCCACAAACCAAGTTTGCCATGCAGACCGATGTCTCCACAGACCTTAGTGAGTCAGAATCTTTCACAGAAAAATTTATTTTTAAAGAAATGGTTGCCAATTCTCTCTTTGTACTTCACCTGATAGTATCATCATCTCGTTCTGATTATACTTCATAAAATAAAGTTTCCAGTCATGGACATGAACAGACAATAATCAATCACATTCATGCAAATTAGTCCCTGGATCTGCTGAATCACAGCAGATAAAGAAAGAGACATTACCGCTTATTAAAAAATAACACACATTTTGAAAGGTCCTTGTCATGGCGATTGTTTTATATTACAGTGTTTTTTTTCTAAAGGATTTCTTGTACTTATTCCAATCCTAAACACTAGAATGTGTCATTGTTTGGTCTGCTTTTGTGTCTGTTTGTTTGCAGATGGTTGGGGGCTCACCTTCCCAATTGGCAGGACAAGAATCACACAATGTCCCTCTGATATACAAAGACCACAGCTGTCCTCTGGATTCCCTCTTACTGTCAAGGATCTGCTTATGTCGGGTACACCAGATCCTGTAAGTTTGTTATGTTTTTTTTTTTGTCATTTTGGGGGATTTGGACTAATAAGGAAAGAAGACAGTGTTATTTATTTTAAAAATGTTTTGTTACTCTTTTTCCACAGCTTTATTTTATCATAGGACCTGCTGTTTAGAAGTTGTACAAGTTTTGTGCGAGTTAGAATGTGTATGTTTGAGTGTTTGTGTGTAACGTTCAGGAGAGCAAACAATAGGACAATTGATTTGGGCCAGCTTGTGCAATGACAGGTAAAAGTTGAGAAAACTCAGATTTTGCAGTCAGTGGTGGGGGTATGGGTAGGGTTTAGGCAATTCATGGTTATTAAAGTGAGACAAGGGGTGGCTGTGGCTCAATTGGTAGTATGTTATTACGTTGAAAACACATGTGGGTGACTTCACTGCTGAAATCATGGCTTACATTAAGATACGAGGCCTTTGAAATGCAATTGACTTTCCTATTTTTGAACATTTGGTTTTGAAAATGTTTGTTTCACATGCAGCATTCAATTTTAAATGCTTACGAAGAGAGGAGTTTGAAGGAAGGGTAGTTTACGTTTGTATTCTTGTGAATCAGAAATTCCTAATAGTTTGTAAGTTTCTCACCATAGCACACAGTTTTCTGCTGTAACATCTAGCTGTTCATTAACCACTTTTGAAAGGGTCACAGGAAGCGATGTTTCGATACCAATACTTCCTTTAAGAAACCTATTGTCTTGATTCCAGAATTAACAAATGGTAGAGTACCAAAGTGAAGAAAAAATTATTTATTCATTTAGAATTTATTCTAAAAATCAAAAGCTTACTGTATTGCAAGCAGTCCAAACAATAGGTTCCAATCAAACACAGGTGTGACAAATAGAGACACAGGTGAAACTGATGACAACAGCCAAAAACAGAGTAATGACAAGGTTACAGGAAAAAGCAACTTGTAGGCTTTTGTTTTTTGACGGTGACGAACAATGATTTCTTGAAAAACTCGGCAAACCCAAGGCAAATAAGCAATGGTGTCAGAATGGTGTATTATAACAAAGACTGGAGACTGCAAACGTTCACACTCACTTTCAGAAGTGTAAGGGACTTAGAGTCACCTGTTAACTTAACCTTCATGTTTTTTGGTCATAGGGGAGACCAGAACACCTAGAGAAACAGGGAGAGCACGAGAATGACATGAAAACTCCACACAGATGCGAGAACTTCTAATTTATTTCCTGCAAAAAATGTTCCTAAAAGGGGAGGTCGTCACTGAATACACAAGCTGAAAAATGTGTATGTGCAGCTGAAACTTGAGGTTATTCAGTGCTGATCCCAATTTTGCAAAACCAGCTTAACAGTATAAAAGTGGCAGAATGCAACTTCTTCCACCATAATTGGTTTGAGGTTTTCATGAAATGAGAGTGATGAAGGTGGCCTAATACTTTGCACTCATTTAACGTCTTCTTGTGAGGCTCTGGGGGAAAAGATGGTTGGCAGCAAAGCCGGAGGAGGAAGATGAGTGGGAGCAGGGAGAAAATGTAATCAAACAGCTCTCATTATGTATCCTATATTAGTATTCATATCTCATCTACAGACCCCACACCCATCCCAACAGTCCATTCAGGAGCTGGTTCTCAATGAAGATGAGAAGAAGCTTTTATCAAAGGAGGGGGTGACTCTGCCCAACCAACTACCGCTAACAAAGGTAAAATGCAATCAATACCTAAAAAGCTCCAAAGGTTTAGCCTCAAAATCAAACTGTTCCATCCTCTGACCATCAGTATGAAGAAAGAATCCTGAAGAAAATACGCAGAAAGATTCGCAATAAGCAGTCTGCCCAGGAGAGCAGGAAGAAGAAGAAGGAGTATATTGATGGGCTGGAAAGCAGGTAAGAAACCGAAATAAGAAAAATCATGATTTGTTAAGCACGTTTTTGGGCAACAAAGTAAATTCACCATGTCAATGCAAACTGTGCTCTTAAGTCATTTTAAAATCTGGTTTCATACAATCAGACTGTGCACAAGGCCATCCTCTTAAAATGTGATGGCTATGGTCTCATTTTGAATAGACTCCGCAGACAATATTATGTCAGAAAATGTATTTCATTATTATTACTTAGAATTCTATTTCTTGCACAGCATAATTGCCCAAGTAATAATTTATGGTTTTTCAGAGTCATGTGATTTGCGTCCACACCTCTGCTGTTCATAATTGTAATGATCAACTGAAAGTACATTTACTGTATAAAAAGAAATATGAACTAGTTGGTACTATTTATTCATAATTGGCAAAAATGTGTAAAAAAAACAACAACCTGTAAGCTCCTTTTAACTGTTTAATGTCTGAAAATGTAGATACGCATCATGAACATGTTGCATCAAATGTTTGAGTTGACTATTACTTTTATGCTCAATCAAAATAAGTTAGGTAATTATATTTCTGTTTTTGTTGGGATATTACCTTGTCATGCTCCCAATTTCTGCCCTCTTTGTGTATTGTCTCATCCAGGATGGCCACCTGCAATGCACACAACCAGGAGCTGCAGAGGAAAGTGTCCCAACTGGAGAAATGCAACATGTGAGAGAGTTTTAAATCAAACGTATTCCTTCATTTCCAACATTTCTTAATTGCAGGAACTGCTCTGCACATCTTTCCTCGCTATTTTGTTCTTTCAAAGCACTGTTCATTCAGTTATTTATGTCTGTCTGTCCCCTATCTGCAGGTCATTAATGGAACAGTTGCGCAGACTGCAGGCTCTGGTCATGAATACATCTAACAAGCCAGCCCAGACTGGAACATGTGTGCTGGTAAGGACGTCCTCTGTGTGTGCATGCTGGGCAGATAAACAGATGCACAGATGCTTCATATGATACGTCTTCAGAGCAGGCTGAAAAGCAATAACCGCTGTAGCTTGATTAGCCATTGAGAAAGGCCAATGTAGATATGTACACAATGGGCAGAACAGCACAAAGGACACATAATGGCAACATAAAAAAAATGTATGAACTAGAGCCTTGTATTGCCTTTAATCTCCAAAAAGGAAAAATCTTTCAAAAGTAACTTGTGATCATGAAACCTGAGGTTCCTGGACAAAGAAAGCTTTGCTTCACAAGAAAAGCATGGCAATACAATTATGTTTTTTTTTCCTCTGTATTATGTTTTTCTTTCTGAGCATTGAAACTTGAAGCATTTTCACAGAGGAAATGACCAAACACTATTGAAAAGTTCAATTATGTGAAACGTTTTCAAATACTTGTCTGTCTTCTTTTTTGTGAACTCAGCCTGTATTATGTTTTTTTTTTTTTTTTTTTTTAACCTTTATCTAACTCTCTTTTTGTCTGTCTGGTGTGTTTGATTTTGTTGTTTCTACATCCTTAGGTACTCCTGCTGTCCTTCTCCCTAATCCTGTTTCCCAGCCTAAAGCCCTTCTCTGACACCAAGGTCAGCCAGGGAGATTTCAGTCCTGTCAGAAGTGAGTAACCTTCAGCACCAAACAGCTTTTGTGCAGCCGCCTGCAGACTAATCCAACGCCTCCTTGTCACAGTGGAAAGGCTTGTTAGAATTGCAGTCTAACCTGGTGCTGGAAATGTCCTCACCTGCAGAGCTTGGAGTCCGCTCTGCACATGAGGATTTTCAGTTGACTTAAAACTTTTATGATTAAGACTTTTAAGAACTCTTGAGATTAGAGCAGATGCACAGAGAACAAATGCCATTTATCATTAATATAATGGTTATGAAGCTATTGCTTTGCCGAAAACGTTGATGATTTAGCATTACTTATTACAATATTATTATATCTGTTGGCAGGAACAACAAAAATGGCAACTTGTTGATATAATACCAGATCCGATCCGCGCAGCAGGGGTTAGTTTGTTATTTTAAACTGTGTGACAGGGACTAGTGAGATAGCCATGATGGAGAACACTTAAGTCCTTCTTTATTGGTAAAACTCTTCAACAATGATGTTTAAGGATTTTAAGGCATACTTTTCATGTAAAGTGGATGGATGTTTGAACAGTCCTACCAGCTACTCACATAATTTTTCCAAAATAATATCAACTACCTAATATTCTTGTCAGGTTTGACGACTGCTTAGTGAATGATCCTAGTGAGATCTGCTCTACCTTCAATATGCACTTTGCAGCGGCCGGTCATATCTTTGAGGATGTGGATTATAGATCACCCGCTCCTAGCATTGACCTTCCTCCCACTGACAATGGCTGTATTCCCACTCCAAATCATACTTCTCAGTTTAACTTATCTCCTATCTCATTCTGTGTAGTTTTAGAGGCTCTTCAAACCTTAGATCCTAAGAAATCTACTGGTGAAGACAAATTGGATCCTCTCTTTCTCCGTCTCTCAGACTCTTTGATTGCTGAGCAATTAACTCAAATTTTAACCTTTCCATTTCATCCGGAGTAATTCCCAATGTATGGAAAAACACTTATGTTACCCTTTACACTAGAGTGGATATAAGAGTGACCCTAATAATTATAGGCCAATCTCCAAATTGCCCTGCTTAACAAAAATATTAGAGTCTCTCGTAAATCACCAACTCAAGGAATTTCTGTCAATAAACTCTGTTCTAAGCCCACATCAGTCTGGGTTCAGATCTATGCACAGCACTGTTTCTGCTGTCACGCTCGTGTTAAATGATGTTGTCAATGCCTTGGATAAAAAAAACATGTGCTGCCATCTTTGTCGACCTCTCCAAAGCATTTGACACTGTTGACCATTCATTGCTTTTGCAAATTCTTGGTTTATTGGTTTTAATGCAAGTGCCTGTGTGTGGTTTTTGAACTACCTCACTGACCGACGGCAATCAGTGAACCTGGGAACCATCCACTCTGAGTTTCTTCCAATCACTAAGGGTGTTCCACAAGGTTAAATTTTAGGCCCAGTCCTTTTTACAATTTTTATCAATAAAATTATTCCATTATTAACTAGCAACCCTTCACATGCTCACTTATATGCAGATGATACAATATTGTACTGTATCGCTAACTCTGCTCAGCTTGCCATGGAGAACCTGCAACATTCCTTTAATGTTCTCCAAATTGTACTTAATGACATTAAATTGGTTTTAAATGTTCAGAAAACTAAATGTATGTTGTTTTCTAGGGCTAAATGTGAAACTGATAATAACCTTCACATTGCCACCCTGCTAGGATCCATTATCGAGTGAGTTAAAGACTATAAATATCTCGGTATATGGATAGATGACAGACTAACATTCAAGCTTCACATAATCTTAATCTTACTTAATAATCTTACTGTCAAACTACGTCAAAAGGTTGGTTACCTATATAGAAATAAATCAAATTTCCCTATGTTCTGTCGGGAAAGGATGATTGAAACAGTTTTTCTCTCAGTTTTGGATTATGGTGATGTGGTCTATACGCATGCCTTTTCCGCTACGCTATAGCCCTTGGATGCTGTTTACCATTCTGCGCTTAGATTCATTACCACTGATAGCTACATGACTCACCACTGCATTCTTCATAATAAAGTTGGTTGGACTCCCTCACTGAGAGACGTAATAACCACTGGCATCTTTTTAACTATAAAGCCTTTACTGGAAAGCTTTCATCATATAACACCTCCTTGTTACATCTGCTTCCTGGTCCATTTTTAACCCGCTCGAGAGAGAGAGAGAGGCTGGTTCTCCAGGTTCCTCATGCCAGGACTGACCTGGGGAAAATTGCTTTTAGCGTTAGTGCTGCAGACTCCTGGAATATTTTACAACAGGACCTGAATTTGAGTGCTTTTATCCCTTATGGACACTTTAGAAATATTATTTTTAACCGCCAATTATTTATTTGATTTTAATTACTGACTTATCACTGTAGTAATTTCAAGCTTTTAAATTATTTTAATGTATATATTTTATTGTTCTTATTGCTCTTATATTGATTTTCTTTTCTGTAGTAGCTTTATCTCATTTCTCGTTGTTTGTCATTTATGTATGTTTTCTCAGCATCATTGTAAATGAGGGTCACCCTCAATGATCTCTCCGAGAACTTAGATAAAGGTTGATGATGATGAACTTCAAACTGTTCAAAAGGAGTATGAACTTAAGTGACAAACAGTTGAAAAGCAACATCTACTAATTATTATTTGCACACTCAAGATTTTTCTTAGTGTGTTAATGCTAACACACTAAACGACACAAAACAATATCGATAATTTTTAACATCACAGTCACTCATTCAATGTTTCATAGCAGCATATTCTTGTAGGTTATAGTTGATGAAATTTACTTTAACAAACACTTAATCCACTTACAACGCCATTATCGTTTGTTATAAAGCATTAATCATGTGTTTATTACTCCTAAAGCAAACTGTCAATGAGCTGCATGTGCAAAAGTTCTTACAGTTGTTTCTCTTTTCCATGTGTCTTCTTCCCTCTCAGTCCAGTCACGGTCCCTGCAGAACCTTCAGGCATCCCGCGTGCTGCATGTTATTGACCCTCCCTTCACTGCTGACGAGGAATCCGAACCTCTGCACCGGTATTTCCCAGGAGACAGAGGATTAGACGATATAACTTCACTGATGGGAAAGATGGACGTGAACCAGGACCGGTCTGATTTGGAGCCGCTGTCTCTGAACAGCAGTCAGGAAGAAAGGATGAGTCATTACCACGTGGACCCAATCACTGGCCACATAGCTACTGTAACCTTGGATCCCCAGCGCTCTGCCAGGCTGAGACCACATGCTGATGACATGTAGTAAAAATTAATCCCCACATGAGTTCTTTAATCCATCCTCTTCATACATGGTCCCCCGGTGAATTTCCCGAATCTGCATTTTACACAAACACGGAAATGAGCCTCTAATCTTTCTTGTATTGGATTGAGTATATATTATGTCTTAAGTGTGATACTGTTTTACTATGTATGGATTTGTTCTTAAACTGAAATAGCTTGTCAGGATGAATTGTGTGAACTGTGGCCTTTGCCTATTTTGTTTGATAAAATGTGTTTAAAAGGGATCTAAAACTAGCAAAATAAATAATGATAAGTTTTAATTTGAAAGGATTATTTGTAAAACTTCAATGCATTTTGAAAGCATGTTTAATTAATGATTGATTGTTTTAATGCGTTAAGATGCCTCAAATAAAGGTTTAAGCCAAATCAGTTGTCTCAAAATTGAACACATTGTTTTTTTTTTCAAATATGTTTTCGACCTTTATTTAATGAAACTCAACTTTTCTGTCAAAATATGAGTCTAGACAAGCCATTTGTTAAAGGGCAGGTACAGTAGGTTTGACCTGACCAGAGACAGAGAAGGACAGAAGACTTGGCCAAAGGTGGGACAGATGACCTCTTATCTTCTGACTCTGACTTCAATAATTGGCTTTTTGATATATTTCCTGGATGCAGGCGGGCAGCAGCTTGTTTCCACAGCTCTGAAAGTGCCTTGTCTGTCAGTGCAGACCACACTGTGATAGTATGAAAGTGCTGCAACTTGGGCCAGAATTATATCTTAACATTTAAGGTGTTACTTGTCCAGGCTGACATTTTCTGTGGTGAGAGAGACTTAACATCAAAGGAGTACAACCTGTACTGGAATGAGCTGCTGTAGAAACCATAAAACTAGTGTTAAAGCTGAAGAGAACTGAGGGGAAAAACAAATATTAACTATGATAGGTGCCCTGTACCACACTTGGTAGAGAGTGCACCCAATGTACCAAAACTATCTCCTAACCATAGTGATGAATCCAAATCCAAGATCTTAGTGTCATTTCATCCCCATAGTCTTCCACACATTTCCTGTTTCTATTCAACTTCCCCTTTTATTTTTTAGGTAATTTTTTGGCCTTTTGCCTTTATTAGGACACCTGAAGAAAGACAGAAAATGCTGGGAGGAGAGTGTTTATTTCTAAAATAATGTCTTAATGTGTATCCCTGAAGCATGAATTTTGATGTTTCAAGACTTAGAAAACATACTTGTCACAGTTTCTTGTAAGGTGATATATACTTCTATATTGTGAACTTATAAACACCTTCTGAAATAAATAAGAATTTTTTAAAGGAATAGATCTGTTTCATAACTTATTCAAAATGACTCCAAGGAATCAAATTTTTACAACCACAAACCCTTATTACCTTTCCTTTATTAAGAAGAGCATCAGTCCGTCTTTACAAGAACTCGTTCCATCAAACGTGTGTCAAGACTAAAAGTGTGCTTTGACTAAAGTGTCTGATACCCGATGTTTTGAACTTTCTCTGTTATTTTCTATCCCTAGAATTCATTATTGTCCTATATCCAAATAAGTTCAGTTCTAAATATATATTTTTCCTGCATGCTTCTGTCTAAAAACGTTATACCTGTTGGTTATTAGTTGTAAGTAGTTTAACTTTAACAGGGACCAAATCCGGTGGCCCCAGTATCACATTTAAAAGGCATTGCATTCTCATTTAGGTACTGATTTTATTTGTAATTAATGAAGGATTAGACCATGTGTCCAGCAGGCTTTGTTTTTCAACCATTTCCAACCTAATTAATTGGCTTTTTAAAAATTTATTATTCACTGACTTTGCTCTGGGCTTTTGTCACTGTCTGTAGTTGGGGGACCAATTAGTCATGTGAAAAATTAGCAATTGTGTCTGCATTTATCTTGTTCTCTTATTTAAATAAGAATGTGGTATAAAATGAAGGTGCATAATACACATAAGCTCTGAGATACTTTAAAGTTGTTATATGAGATGGTTGACCTGTTGTTCCTTCATCTCTGACCTCCATCTTCCCCACCTTCCTCTCTTTGACTTAGTTCTGTTGTTCCTCTAATCATGGGGAAAGTCTCTACAACATCAGCCCCTTCGCCAATCACTTTGATTAACCAACTCCCCATGGAGCCAAGAGGCCTCTCTGCATGGATTGGCTCATACTGAGATAGGTGAGCCATAAGGAATGACAGGGAGACTGAGTATTTATCAGAGACTCCTCATCTTCTCTTTTCATCTACAAATTGACTTTTTCTTTCCATGTGTGATGAGGGCCCTCATAGATGTAATGTGCTTAGATGAAGATTCCTGAGCACCACCAGACTTTCTTATGTCCAAAATTGTTTGTGTAATATCAGCAGAATAGGATGAATAAATATCTCTCACCTTAGAGAAGTGTTAGAGCAGTTAATGATAAAGACACCAGCAGGGAAAATTGTACTTAAAACATGGTGTGTGCTTTCTTTCTCATGAGCTGATTATATGAGTGAATTGGATTAACCTGTAGTTATATTATCATATAGTCAGTATTAACTGCTACCCATTCTCTGTTTTCAATGAATGTCACTCCCTCAAAGTGCTCTGTCCAAAACTGTCCAAAAGTCTACCGTGGGAAACCTGATTCTTCAGCCAGAGACCCCCAAGGTAAATATCAGAGGAGGTGATAATCAGGGACATTGTCCTAGTATAGATTAGTAAAAGTATCTGTCAGTTGAGGTAACTGGTTGCCCAGGAACAAATGTAGTAATCAAAGTGAGTGATTATTTAAGCTCAAGATTGATTGAAACATGCAAACGTCATGCATTTGAGCAACTCCACCTTAACAAAAGTAGTACAAAGATACAATAATTGCTCAAATGCATCATTACAAGTCATATTGTATTTCCCCTAATATCGCACTACATCTTTATTTCTCAGAACACAAGATCCAGTTTTTTTCTCTGCAAAGATTATCTCATTTACAAACACCAAAATATGATCCATGTAGACTAGCTATATGGTTTATGAGTACACAAGGTTTATGGTTAAGTAATCCAGAAATACAATTATTACTCAAGTTATCTGAAAGCATGACAAGACCTTTGAAAAGAGAAAGCAAATTCACAAGCATTGAACATGAGTTTATGCTTTTCTGTCCAATTATGTGCATTTTTGGGATGTGGGCACTCATAAATTAAGCTAATCATTTCTGGAAAGTCATATGTTGGTGAATACATGATGCCATACACAAGTGTAAAACATGTTAGAGAGAAAATTCACTTTAAAAAAAGGGGTTGAACAGTGTTCAGAAGTATCATACACAAGGACTAGTGTATAGAAAACCAAGATGGAATATAACAAAAAGCACAGTATTTAAATATATAGAACCTATATAGAAAAGGCAACATAGCGCCACTTTTGCCATAATACACTACAAGACACCAAAATCATTGGGCCTTTTTGCCTACTATTTTGTCATTCTACAACATACAATATGAGATGCAGAGCCGGCCCTAACCCACTTGGTGTCCTGGGCAAGATTTTAGCTGGTGCCCCTTGAATTGCAACTAATTCCAACACCAATCAAAGTGTTCATACACTTAAAGAAAACTGGCATACAGCTTTATGTGTTACAGCTTTATTTATTTAACCCTGATATTTATCAGTACGATCAGTGTCACTCACTTCTTAAAAACTCGTCTGCCCTCCTCCCCTACAAAGAGCAGGTAACGAGCCGGGAGCAAGAAAATAGGGCATTTTTAAATAGGTGATGAAGACTAGATAACGTTAAGTTAACAGTTAAACACGTTTCCTTCTTTATGTTATTATTATCTTCAACTTTTCTTTCTCACTCATTTTGGGTGCCAGGATGCCCCGTATGGACGGCAGGTGCCCCTAGCATTTGCCTTTACTGCCTACAGTATGCCACGGGCCGGCCCTGAGTCAAAACAGTCCTAATTAAAAACAGCTTAACCTTTATATTGGCTAGATGATTTCACTGATTCTTAACATACAGATTATTAGAATAGTTGTTATCAAAAACTTTAACCTTCACTTAATTTGTTTCTGTTAATGTCCAAACCTGTACTAAATGGATCACAGAAAAGCTGAGCAAGAGCATACCGCCTGCAGTGGTTCTCAAGTTTGATTGTCACTTCCTGTCCCCCATCTGGTGTTCTTCTCAGTGACATGACACCATCTGCAAACAACCTATAGAGTATTGTACTGTGTATCTTACACATTTTATCAGAGGTGTAAAGAGTACTGAGAAACTGAACTCAAGTACAGGTACTGTTACGTTACTAAAAATGTACTGAATTACAAGTCAAAGATTATTACTTTTTTAGCTGTTCTTAATGCATCAATAGTAGATATTCAATCAAATCAATCCAAATCTTCAGTCTAAATTACTCCTGTGCTGTTCTGTTCAGTGGTCACAGTCACCTCTACAAACCAGTTGTGTTACGGCTGCAACCTTCGCAGTGTTACGGTCTGAGTGACACGCCCGCTGCACACAAGATGATGATTTTTCTGTGATATTCATGTTCTTGGTCTTGTCTCGGTCTGGCCCTGCCTTGGTCTTGTTCTGGACTTTGTCTTGATCTCCAGATGTCTTGGTCTTGTCTTAGTCTCGGCTATATCTTGTTCACAGTTAGTGTGCTTTGACTACACTATACAAACACTATATACCAGCCCCAAGTGACTGTTGACTTGTACCTTTCAAAAATGTGAATTTATCTGACTTTCATGCTGTGAGTCCCTTCAATGAAATGAAGTGACATACATAAAACAACATTCTAAAACTAACAAAGTATTTTTTGTGTCTAAATCAAACCTTACTGTGACCATTTCCCAGAGTTATTAACATGTGAGATATTGCTACAACAATGCAGGTGAAAGGTTTCAATATTAAAGGACCAGTGTGCATGATTTAGTGGCATCTGGCGGTGAGCTTTCATATTGCCAACATGTCTCTGCATCTTTCCATCCCAAGCATGCAGGAGAACCTGCAGTGGCAAGAAACTGTAAAAGGCGTTATCTAGAGACAGTGTTGGGTTTGTCTGTTCTGGGCTACTGTAGAAACATGGTGGTGCAACAAAGTTAACCTTCTCCCTCTGCAGATAAACGGGCTCATTCTTAGTTGACACAAATACACTCCAAAAATAACCCATTTAATAACAGTAACTTGAGTATTTGTAATAAGTTACTTTCAACCCACATTTTATAAGATGTGTCAGCTGCGTTATCTTGTTATTATAAGGTATCATGAAAACCACCTGTTAAAGCCTGGAGAGCAGCATGTGGACCACAAGCTCAGCAATGAGGAACGCTGCTCTAATGTCTACAATTCACTATCAAGTCCTCTAACTTGAAAATCTGTAAAGGATTTTCCATGAATCCAAGGTTGAACAAGGTACATGAAATTTACAGCATTTTGAAAAGTAATTATGCTAATATAATCATCAGCATTGAAAAATGGCTGATGCGTATCTCCAGCTCAGTAAATGCAGCTGGGGGAAAAAGAACAGAAAAGGATAGATTTAATCCTGATGGACAGTTTTAAGCAATATATAGATTTCAGTTGATTATAAAAATGTACTATTAATGCACAAACATTTCTTAAGCTGGTTTGAAATTTAGACATCATGTTTATATGGTATATGAAAGACACTCTTGATTGGCCTTATAAAACACAGACTTTATCTAAAACTCTTTCCCTTCAAGAGGAGTAAAATGTGACTGGTTGGTTAAGTCAAAGGAATGGAATGCAAATCCGTGCAGATCTTTCTGATTAATTTAGTATTCAATTTTAATCCTAGCCTAATTTAAATAAAGGTATTTCAGATTAATTTATCATCATGTCTATTAGACAAAGGTGCTTTTGACAATTATGGCCCTTCTCTAAAACATCGGTTAGAATGTAATTTTCTCATCGTGGTCTTTATAGATCTCAGATAGAGGAAGCTGAGCTTTCCAGTGGGATAAAGAATCATTGCAATTGAAAACAGACTTTTAAGCTCAGATGCAGTGTGTTTAAGGTTCATTTGGATAAAAGTCACCTTACAACCTCCACACAAACATGCACAGTACAAACAACTAAAAGTTTCATTAAACAGGCACTGTGTTACCCTTGAGCTAGACGCTTGATTTGACACTTAAAAGCTCTTAAATTACAGGTCTTATTATTTAGGTAATTCTTTACAAATAGTGAAAGCACTCTTTTATAGTTTCTTATCCACACAGAGATTTAAGAATGAAAGGATCAAATAAAGGAGCTCAAGGACAATACATAAATGTGTCTGGTACATCAATATGTGATATTTGTTCCCTTGAATTGTGATTCAAACTTTTCATTTTGAATAAAGGACACAAGTTAAAGACTTTGTGTCTGACTTTTGAAAAGAGATACAAAAATACGCATTTATTCTGGGTGTTTTTCTTCACAGAACGCTGAACGCTCATTATCTGATTGTTAACCCAAGGACAGCTATATCTGGCAGCCTTACCCCCAATCTGAGATCATTTTGCTGTCAAAAATATGTCAATATTTAGTTGTTGTTATCTCTAGTGCCACTGGGGAAAGATAATACATGGTGTTCCCTGATCCAAGGAGATGAACTGTTCTCTATGCAGGAAAAAACACCCCACATCAAAACGTAACCATCTGATCATCTTTTAGTGTTAAAGGGTGCTGTTAAACAGGAAGAATGAATAGTCACACCTGTTGTGTCTCACGTGTCAGTTTGGCAGGGATTACTGCACTAACACCAGAAACAGATGTTGCCTTTTTAACATTTTAATCACTCGCTGCAGTCAAATTGAAATGATTAACAAGGACAGCTACCCATCCCTGAAACCAGCTGTCTACCTTATCTCTCTACAGCAACAAAAGAGGGACACAGCAAAGGCAGTCAGTTATTGTCTTATAGAAGTATAATTATCGTCTTTTTTCCATTCTTGACACTTCAACAGATCCTTATCATTACACATTTTACACCTGTCTATTCATGAACCCCTCTGGAGCTGGTTTCCAGAATCCGACAGACCAAAACATTTTGTTGTTTAAGACTAGGTCAGAAATGTGAGTTTTTTGTGCGCAATGTTAAGTAGATTGCTCATCTGCAAGCTTTACTGTAATGAGACATCTATGAGCCATCTCCAGCAATTTGCTTGCCTTAATGTGAAGCAGCACTTGAGATATTAATTTTGATTTATCTGGGATCTTGGTGACAAGAGTTATACAAAATACCCGAAACTCTTCGAATGGTCTTCGCTTTTACGAACATTAATTAACACCTGACCAGCCAATCAAAAGATAACCTTGTCTCACTCAGTATATCACAAAGCGTCCACTAAATGGTGACTAACCCAACAATAAGGCCTCACAATGCTTTGCCAGGCAACTAAACCCCACTCAACAGACCTTACTCGAGCACATATGTCTCTGTTCGTATTGTTTCATCAGTAAACAAACACAAAGGTAGAGAACAAATAAAAAAGAAAACATGATTAGTAATGCCACAGATTATGACCACAGCATTGTGGAGTGTGTGCAGGGGACTTCACAGCAGGAAGTAGATGACAAGTGGTTTGTATACAACCTGAAAAATGTTCGGTGCTTTGGAAACAGCCTGTGCTGATTTATTCTACATCATAGATTTGAAAGCTTAGAAAACTGAACTTGGCACCCTGTCAATCCTGCTCGTGGATTTTCCGGTTTTAGGGTTGTTAAGATGACAAGAAGTGGGTCACAACAGATTAAGACTAACCTTTTTATCCACTCTTGTCTTTCTGATTTACCTCAAAATGTAAAGGAAGGAAAACACTTACAAACCAGGAAAGTGATTTTTAAACAACTCAAGGCAACACAGTGTAACTCCGTCTATATTTTTGTTATAGTCAGAGGAAAAAAGCATTGTATTTCAAAATGTTTACAGTTTTTGATTTGAAATGTTTTAGTAAGTGATTTCTTTTTTTTTTTTACAATACTCACTTGAATATTGCAAAGTTAAAAATATAAGCTAGAAAAAAAATAATTAAAAAAACTATTGAATCTTTTTGTGTTAATAAGTTAAAAAAAATCGGAGCGCGTAATGCTCATCCATAGAGGTTGTCTTTATTGAAAGCCTTTACTAAGGTTCCCTAGCGTTTCAATGTGGTGTCCTTGATCCTTCACCTGCACATCCTTTTCAGTCGTATAGAGTGACAACACCAAGCACAGGTTTTTGTCTAAATACAGATGTAATTCAGCACTTGCGTCCTCACTATGGAATCCTCTACACATCATTGCGTATTTACGCGCACCGTTGTTTCCCCCAAAAGCCTTTAACACACTGCGCAGCACTAACACGATTATCTCGGAGGTGCCAGTGTCGCGTCAAAATTAATAAATCCTCACCCCTGACGGACATGCCGGGATACTTTGATGTGGTTGAGACTATCAGAATCTGAATTCGCTTCGGTCCAATCATGAGGCTGGTGAGGACAGGAGCGTCGAGTTTTGCGCGTTCACGTGAAGCATATAAACAGACGTGACGCGCGGGAACTGTGAGTAGTCCTAGAGAGAGGAGAGGAGAGGAGAGGAGGATTGCATCTGTGGTACTGTTGGAAATAACCTGTCATGTAGAGGGCTCAAAATGCCTTCATCAATAACTTTTTTCTCTCTTTTTTTGGAACTCATTGCTGGTTAAAGTTTGCTGTTGCATAGTGTTATGTGAGCAGAAGAGTCCAGCCATGCAGCTAAATGAGTCTGGAGTTCAAACCTCAGCTCCAGAGCCATGTGAGCAGCCAATGATATTGGAGGACATTGCTGGAAACTGTAGCGGAGGATCCACCAGCAACCTGTCGCTGCACTGCTGGCTGCAGCTGCTCACCAGGGACTCCATCATGGAATTTCAAGGGGACAACTCCAGTCTGGTGGTGCGTGTGATGATCGCATGTGTCTACTCTATAGTCTGTGCCCTGGGGCTGGTGGGAAACTCTTTGGCGCTGTATCTGCTGCACTCACGTTACCGGCAGAAGCAGTCATCAATTAATTGCTTTGTGATGGGACTGGCTATTACAGACCTTCAGTTTGTGCTGACGTTACCTTTCTGGGCGGTGGACACCGCCTTGGACTTCCGCTGGCCGTTTGGACGTGTGATGTGTAAAATCATCAGCTCTGTCACAACCATGAACATGTACGCTAGTGTCTTCTTCCTCACAGCGATGAGCATGGCACGTTATTACTCCATCTCCTCTTCACTGAAGATGCACAGCCGGCGGACGGCAGCTGCCAGAGCCAAGTGGACAAGCCTAGGCATCTGGGCTGTCTCCCTGCTGGCCACTCTGCCTCACGCCATCTTCTCCACCAGCGTCCAGGTGTCAGATGAGGAGCTCTGCCTGGTGCGCTTCCCAGACTCAGGCAGGTGGGATCCACAGATACTTTTGGGTCTCTACCAGCTGCAGAAAGTCCTCCTGGGATTCCTTATTCCTCTGATCATAATCACTGTCTGCTACCTGCTGCTCCTACGCTTTATCCTCAGCCGACGTATCACAGGTGCAGCAGATCCAGAGGTGGAGCAGAACCGGCAAAGTCGTCGTTCGAGAGTGACCAAGTCCATCGCCATCGTGGTTCTGTCCTTCTTTCTGTGCTGGCTGCCCAATCAGGCGCTGACACTGTGGGGAGTGCTAATTAAGTTTGACCTTGTGCCCTTCAGCAAAGCCTTCTACAACACTCAGGCCTATGCCTTCCCCCTGACGGTATGCCTGGCTCACACAAACAGCTGCCTCAACCCTGTGCTCTACTGCCTGATCCGCCAGGAGTTTCGGGCAGGTTTGAAGGAGCTTCTTCTTCACGCCACGCCTTCCTTTAGAAGCCTGACTCATCTATTCCCTCGCAAGGTAAAAGTAGCCGAGGCACCGCCTGTTCTGGTACTCGTCCAAATGGATGTCTGAGATGGACAGGTTACAGTGAAGGAGTGAATGAATAAAACATAAAGTGGAAAAGCCAAACCTTCATATACTATGACTGATCTGGATTTATAAACTAATGACGCATTTACCTCCATCCTGTCAACACAGAATATGAAATATATTTTTGGCTTAAACAACATTATCATAATGGACTGCTCAGAGGGTTGTGCCCTATTTTCACTGCCTGCTCCAAGATTCTTTCTGCTGCAGAAATATTTATTTGTTTTACAGTGACTCTCTCTCTCATCGGTTTTGTCTTTGCATTACTTTCAGCTTCTGAGAGACAAAACAAGTCTCAAAAAAATATTTTTCAAGATATATTTAACACTGTAAATGATAAATGAGATTCACACTGTCGAACCACCTCAGTTTAATTTTTAGTAAACCTAAGCTGTATTTGCACAGCATTGGCATTATAAATGCGACCAACCATCTTTACATTTCTTTGATAAAACTTCCCAACTGCAATATAGTGACTTGGGTTAAGATCAGAAATAATCATGCCCAATATTTAAAGAAATTAACGAGAAAATAAGTTGTCCAGATGTTTCCCAGTATGCCTTTGGTGCATTTTGTGTACATAGTCTCAACCAGTGAAAGCAAACTGAAAAAAAAAAAAATATATATAATAATTGTTCCCCCTCGTATACAAAATAAGAGCAAATATCCAGAATATGTTTGATCAAAGTTTCATAAAATGGCAAGGTTAATCACCTTACATGCATTATATTTAAAAGAAAAACAATTAATGCCTGAAATATGACATGATAAAATAAGTAAAAGGTTCAAGAATTTCAATGTTTCCTGTGTTTTTTAAGGCAATATTATATGATCTAATATTTAATGTTCAGTTAAAGGAGTGAGGTGTAAGAGAGGAAGGCTGTCCCTGAAGACACGGGAGTATCAAGACTTTAAAGGATTCAAATGAGAATGTTTCTCTTGTTTTATGTCTTTCCTGCAATAAATGACTGTGTACACACACACACACACACACCCCACTGGAACATATATCTGTATATGCCATTTGTTAATGTTGTAGAAAAGATATAACTTATAATGAATACATTCAAAATCACATCAAAGCAGAACATTCTTAAAAATGAAGCATTTCTCCATGGGCCTGTCACAGACACCAACAATCTTCTGTTCCCTGTTTGATAAAAAAGGATCACAATATAGAACCAACGTGATGATGTGATCTTCTGTCAAAATGATGTGTCTGTATTTTCATTTGACTGTAACTATCGTTATTGTTTATATGGAAGGCATTTTGGTGGTTTGATGTTTCTCTGGAAATGACATGCATTGACACAATCAATGCAAAAAAGTAAACTTTTAACTAATGGCCCTTGATTTGACCTGTTTGGAATAATCCGGCCTGGCTAAGTAGAAGTACATGTAAATATATGGAGATATGAATTAGGCGGTTGTCAGCTGAGCCTCTGTAAGTTATTCAAAATATAGTTAGAATTAATGCTTCTGTAAATACTCCTACACTGACAGAGGTACAGCTTTAGATGACAGGGACTCACTCCTCTGTTCTTTATTAATGGGAGTTCATTTCCTCATCTTGTGTTTGCGCACCACTGATTCAATCACGAACAAAATCAACACGGTGCTGGACAAATAGTCTACATCGATGCTGACAATGCGCTGTTTACATGAATTGGTGTCAAATAAATTAAATTGCTTTTCTTGATCCCCTCTGATGAGCGGAGAGTAAGTGAGGATTAGACTCTCACTCGTATTAATCAAAGACAAATAGAAAAAGGGCTGCGCAAAATGTGAAAGCATGATTCTTTTCTTTTTTTTTCAAAAAATATTTCTATTATACTTTTTACTTTGAAACACACATACAGACAATTCAAACAGTACAACAGAACAAACAACACACATTGGCCACAAATTACATTTCTCATCTACATCTCAGACACATGGCACACCCCATACATTATAGACAAAATAGTTATGCCTGTAACCACAAAGTATGGCACGAAGAATGCCATGGCATCCAAGCTTGTGCAGGAAACAATGTATAATAACCACAGTTGACAGTGAGGCAGCATTTTCTTTTCTTTTACAAAAATGATAACATTAAAAGAAATGTCTTTGAAGAAAAATGAGAAAACAAGGCATAAAATAAAGGGCATCAAATAAAAAATTCAAATACATTTGAAAAAAATGTTCTGCCCTATGACCCAAAAATATCCCTTTGTCTGTTTTCTGGGCTGTAATCCATCATTCCCTTAAGTACAGAATTTGCAAGTCTTTTACCACTATATCTAAAGAAGGGTGTCCAAATTTCCAAAAACTCATCACCTTTACACTTGAACCTATATGTTAAATACTCCATTGGTGTGAGGTCAAAGATTATTTTATGCCTAATACTGAAGGTGGAGTATTATCAATTCATTTTAGTAATATGTTTTTCCGGACAGCAAACGTGAGGATACTGAACAGCCTTCTTCTATAAGAGCCCTTTAGCTGAGGACTAGGTAAACCAAGAAGCAAAGTTTGAGGCTCAATATTAAATTGAACATTAAAAATCAAATTTAGTTTACCAGCAATTTTACCCCAGTAATCTTCAATGTGGATACATGACCACATACAGTGCCTATAGCTTCCCACCTCCACAATACATTTTGAGCACATTTCTGACAGACTTGGATTCATCCTGTGTCTTAGCTGGGGGGTAATCTGTAAGCGATGTAGTATTCTTAACTGAGTTTCTCTAGTTCTATTACATATGGAGCTCTCCTTTGCAGAGCTCCATATTTGAGCCCATGGTGCTTCATCCATTGTCAGATCAGTATTCCACATCTGCCTCAAATAATCTGAGGACATGCTACCAGCAAGGTGGAGTTTTGCATAACCCTGACCAAGAATTGATTTCTTGCCTCTGTGAAGAAGTAAAAATTCAATCTGTGAAGTTTGGCAATCAAAAAGATTACGACTTTGTTTTATAATAAAGCTACAGATTTGTAAAAATCTAAATAAATGGCTTCTGGGGAAGCTGTTTTATTCGCTCAAATGTTAGCATCACTCCTCTGTCATATAAATGTCCAAGTGTCAAAATCCCCCTGTCTTTCCAGATGTTAAATCCTTGAAGAGACAAAGCCGGAGCAAAATCAATGTTACCTTGTCTAGGAGTCAGGGAGGATAATGACTTTGAGCGGCCCTCCACCTTTCTTATTGTCTGCCAAGTTTGCAAGGTAGTTCTAATCCTTATATTGTTGTTCACATCAGGCTTAACCTTCTTTAAGTCTAAAGCAAATAAAAGAGCCGGCAGTGAGTTTCTCCTTCTCCATTTCTCCTTGATGATTTTTCATTTTTGGTGAAATTTACAATTGAGTCCAGTTCCCAGTTCCTCCAAACTTGTGACAAGCAGAATTGTAAAAAAAAAAAGAAGTTAGATAAAAGAACCATTACATTTAAGTACTGGTTTCAGAGAGTCTCTCTCTCTCTTTCTCTCTCTCTCTCTCTCTTTCTCTCTCTCTTTCTCTCTCTCTCACTACCTGCGTGTGTTGTTTGTGTTGTCTCTATCCATCTCTAATGCCTCTACTTTTATCACACTTCTTTCTTTCTTTCTTCTGTCTGAGGAAGCTCTAACTTTGCAGAGTATTTACAAATTGAAGTAAGAACATATTGATGAATCCCAGATGTGTGCGACAAACGTTCGTACCAACGTTTGAAGAACTAATATGTGCGTATAAGTGAATGAGGCCCAATGTTATCAATTTGTTTAGATCATTAAAGTTTGTTATCCAAAGTTATACCTAAAAGTTTGACCTCTCTTGTAATGTAAGTGTATGACTTACATTTGATTTCAGTGTTATTTTAGCTTTTAATGGATACCTTGACCCAAATACAATGAACATGATTTTATCAACATTGAGAATCCATTTACTGTTTTTATCCGTTCTAACACTAATATTAAGTATTTATGTAAAATGTTGTTCAGTTCACCAGTACTGCCATTAAAGAAATCGCCCTGCCTCCTATTTGTTAAGTAGCTATCCAGCCATGTTATCCAGTAGAAGTAATTCCATAATGTCTCAAGAATAATCAATCACATCAAGCTGAACAGAGATCAAGACACTGCACCCATTTAATTATTATTATCTTGCTCCCCCTGCCAATCATCAACTATTTGTGTTAGAGCCAAGCATGTGGAATGACCTCCTTTAGGCATGTTGATAATTTGAGTTTAAATTATGAACATCAAAATAAGTTTGTATTTGTACAGCAACAATTTCTCTAATTGATCTTTCCTTATGCTGCAAGCCGCAAATATTCAAATGAGCCAATTTGAATCCTTTCCTTGGAAATTTAGTTTAAATTAAAACGGTGGTTTAAATTACATTTCAGTATATCCTCTTTAAAACTAAGGAGCCATAGTGAGACACAGAATTAAGCTATCCAACAGAAACACTTACATATACGACATAACCTAACACACATAATTTACCAAACATGCATCCTTACATACGCTACACGCTTGTTTCAGGACATCTTGTCCAAGCTGATGGCTGTTCAACAATGAGTCTGGTTCTGCTTGAAGTTTCTCCTTTTTCTTTGCCACTGTTGTCACATGTTGCCCAGTCCTTGTTCATAATAGATTAATGTTGTGTTGATTTAAGATGTCTAGAAATAATATGTCATATAAATTACAGTCTAAACCCTTCATTTTGTGTAAACTGTCATGACATTGATTTTGTTGTGATTTGGGTCTCAATATATAAAATGTATTGGGGAATGAAAAATGAGGGTAGGCTTATGAAATATTTTTGTTCCGGTGAAGTGAAATGTTTGTATATTATTTTATTTTTCTTCACTAATGTTGTGAATTAGACTGATCAAGTTGTTGTGTGTGTTTTTTATCGTGTTTTGTTTGTATTGACCCCAGGAAGAATACTTAATAAAATAGATGTCTGTATATGGTGCAAAAGGGTCATGTTCTATTACACCACACTTTAAAGGTATAGGCTCTCGGGGAGATGTGCAATTATTATTATTATTATAATCATGTGCAATACTCCAGGCACTTCTGCACTTTAATACACCTCCCGTAGCAGCACTTTAAGCCCGTTATGCTCTTTAACTCTGAAGGTCACTTTATCCTGGTCTATTTTGAACAATATTGGACTGCCACTTTTATGCTGTAGAAATGTGTCTCTGACAACTAATGTCCAGTTGATGTTGTTGTTTGGTCATACCACCAACCTGCCCCACACACACACACACACACGCACACACACGCACACACACGCACACACACGCACACACACACACGCACACACACGCACACACACACACCTTAGTATAGAATTATTATGTTATTTATTTAGTAT